GTGGGGTGTGGGGTGTGGGTGTGGGCGTGGACGTGGGTGTAGAGAAAAAGAATACCCAGACCCGCGCCCACACACCCACATCCACGCCAACACCTTCTACCTTTTATATTTCATCACTTCCTTAAGATCGTGTCTCACAAAATTTATATTTATGATCTCAAAGATAATACAAGTACGAAATAGGGGCAGCACTTTAACTTTTTTTACTTTGATAGGCAAGGCAATGTATATTATTTGTCTTTACTTTATGAGTAAAGTCAAGTTCTGTTACTTCGCTTTGCCAGTGAAGTAAGGTACAGCACTTCACTTTACTTTTTGGAAAAAAGTAAAGTGAAGTGAAATATCTGTTACTTTATCCAAAAAGTAAGATGAAGTAAAGCATCTTCTTGATAGTTTTTGATATATTAGTTCATTATCAAATATTAATTACATTCCGATGCGCCACAAGTTATCTTGAACTATGGACCAAAGGGCTTGAAAATGCTGAATATTGTTTTATTATGTTGAGAATCGACATTAAAATATGATTAATTTTCATAATTTTATTTTCTATTTTAACGAAATCCAACTTTTTACACGTGGGATCTCCCTCAGGTATTAAAAAAACTTTTTAAATGTTCTATCGCAAGTCTTTGTGGTTCAATTGTAACAACTGTGTCGATTTCAAATATATCATTTCTTCTCAAAAGTACTAAGAAAATAGAAAATAGTGGCGTATCTAGGAGGGGGTTGAAAGGGCGCTGCTCTTCCGGTGACCGATCAATTCGTCGCGAGTCAATTCGTCGCGTTCAATTCGTCGCGTTCAATTCGTCGCAATCAATTCGTCGCACAATCAATTAGTCGCACATCAATTCGTCGCAATCTATTCGTCGCATCATTCTCTCATTACATGTTTTTTTTATGATAGTCAACGGGGAACGCCGATTATTCGAATTAGTTATGTTTAGTAATAGGGGTGCAACAAACCCAAAGCCTTGGGATTTGGTACAATAAGATTTGGGTTTGTTCTCGACTGGGATTTGGATTTGGATTTGGGTTTGGGTTTGGTCTTAAATTACCCAAATATGACGAGGCTTTGTAAAATAAAGTCCCAGAAGGGAGAAAAGAATCCCAAGTCTTATAAATTAATATGAAATGGATTGGATTTGGTATAGATTTGTGTTTTGGGATTTGGATTTGGATCTTAGATTTGGCTATGAGATTTGGTGTATAGAAGGTTGGGATTTGGGTAGGATTTGGGTTTGGGATTTGGATTTGGAGGTTGAGATTTGGTTTCAATTTAACAAGACTGCAAAGTTGGAGTAATGTTAGATTGAAACCAAATCCCAAGTCCAAATCCAAATCTAAGACCCAAACCCAAACCCAAGTCCAAGTCCAAATCCAAATCCCCAATTTCAAGCATATCACCAATTCTGCATCCCAAATCTCAGCCAAACAAAGCGATAGCAGCAATCCTGAGATTCAAATCTAGATGAAATCCACATCTAGGAACTAAATCCGAACCATACCCAAATCCAGAAACCAAATCCAAATTCAAGTCCAAATCTCAAAGATTTGGTGCCAAATCCCAAATCTATTCAAGATTTGTTGCACCCCTATTTAGTAATTTAAAAATACTAAGTAACATGTTTTTCGAGATATTATTCGATGACTGACATGTTGGAGACATATATGTAAAACTTGAAACTTGAATTCAATTGAGTTTTCAAGTTTCAAGTTTCAAGTTTCAAGTTTCAAGTTTCAA